CCGGTCTCATTCTTCCTCCCTCTCTTTCCTTTCACCTCTCCCATTCTTTCTCTCTCATTATTTTTTTTCTCATTTTTTCTTTAATAGTGACTTTTTCTCTTGATCTCTCTCACCTCACATACCAGAAAAGCCATATGTTTCCTAGCTCGCTCGCTCTCTCTCTCTCTCTCTCTCGTCTCTCTCTCTCTCTTTCTCTTCCTCTTCCTCTCTCTCTCTTCTCTCTCTCTCCTCTCTCTCTTCTCTCTCTTCTCTCTTTCTCTCTTGCACTTTCTCTTCCTCTTCCTCTCTCTTTCTATTTCTCTCTCTCTTTCTTTTTCTCTCTCTCTCTCTCTCTCTCTTCTCTTTCTCTCTCTCTTCTCTTTCTCTTTCTCTTTCTCTTTCTCTTTCTCTTTCTCTTCTCTTTCTCTCTCTCTCTCTCTCTCTCTCTCTCTCTCTCTCTCTCTCTCTCTCTCTCTCTCTCTCTCTCTCTCTCTCTCTCTCTCTCTCTCTCTCTCTCTCTCTCTCTCTCTCTCTCTCTCTCTCTCTCTCTCTTCCTCCCTCCCTCCCTCTCAACCTCTCTCCCTTTCTCTCTCTTTCTCTTTCTCTTTTTCTCTCTCTCTCCACACCCACTCACTCCCTCAGTCACTCCCGGTCTCATTCTTCCTCCCTCTCTTTCCTTACACCTCTCCCATTCTTTCTCTCTCATTATTTTTTTTTCTCATTTTTTCTTTAATAGTTACTTTTTCTCTTGATCTCTCTCACCTCACATACCAGAAAAGCCATATGTTTCCTATCTCTCTCTCTCTCTCTCTCTCTCTCTCTCTCTCTCTCTCTCTCTCTCTCTCTCTCTCTCTCTCTCTCTCTCTCTCTCTCTCTCTCTCTCTCTCTCTCTCTTTTCTCTTCCTCTTTCTCTCTTGCACTTTCTCTTCCTCTTCCTCTCTCTCTCTCTCTTTCTCTCTTTCTTTCTCTTTCTCTCTCTTTCTCTCTCTTTCTCTCTCTCTCTCTCTCTCTCTCTCTCTCTCTCTCTCTCTCTCTCTCTCTCTCTCTCTCTCTCTCTCTCTCTCTCTCTCTCTCTCTCCCTCTCCCTCTCTCTCCCTCTCCCTCCCTCCCTCCCTCCCTCCCTCCCTCCCTTTCTCTCTTTTTCTCTCTTTCTATCTCTTTCTCTCTCTCTCTCACTCTCACTCTCACTCTCTTTACTCTCCCACCCCCCCCACACCCACTCACTCCCTCACTCACTCCCAGTCTCTTTCTTCCTCCCTCTCTATCATTACACCTCTCCCATTCTTTCTCTCTTTCCCATTCATTTTTTTTTCTCATTTTTTTCTTTAATATGAAATCCTGCAATATATAACCACTGAAAACGATCATTTGAATTCTTCCATATTCCTTTATTTTCCAGGATGCCAATCATAAACATGATGACCCAGACTGTTTCCCAAACTGTTGGCAATTTCCTGCAGATGAAGAGCTTTCTGCTGCCATACATCAGACCTTTTAGTTTGTTCATGTCATTTTAACTGAAACATTTTATCTTTTATCACTACTGCTCTGATCCCTTTCCTCAGGTGTGATTCAATGGGGGTGTATTAGTTACTTGTTTTTCACATTATTCAGTACTACATTTGTAACTGCAACATCTACTATTATTATTTACTAATAATTTGAAAGGGGATGGGTATATCTAAGAAAGTTATGATTTTTTTTTTTTTTTTTTTTTTTTTTTTTTTTTTTTTTTTTTTTTTCCCCCCAAGATATAATATTCTATTTTTTTGTTTAGAAAATCAGTTTTCCAACAAACTGAAAATGTCAAGATAGCTTTTTATGTTGTCTTCTGTTAGAAAATTCTTCTAACATTTTTGTGTGAGGCAGTTAGAAGTTAGAAGGGATTTTACTCTACCTACATGGAATAAATGCTTGTCAATTGGTTACAAAGTTTTAATTGTGTATTGTATAATTGAACATTGTATCTTATATTTGATTATGATCATTTTTATGTAAATTTATGTCATTTTGTGTGTGTGTGTGTGTGTGTGTGTGTGTGTGTGTGTGTGTGTGTGTGTGTGTGTGTGTGTGTGTGTGTGTGTGTGTGTGAGAGAGAGAGACAGGCAGGTATATATTGATAAACGTAATCAACACCATAATCTAGGTATCATTGATTATTCACAATTTTCTTTGTTAGATGGAATACATCTACCTTATGCAGATTTTTACACTGAGATTTGATTCACTTGTGCCTCACATGTTGTTTTGATGAAAATTCTTGCTACACTGTGTGGCATTCCAGGTTTTCCAAAATTGCTAAAAGAATTGTTTACCAAAGAACTCATTCTAAATTTGTATTCAGGTGAGAATCACAATCTTGATTATGTACTTGATTAAACTGAATTTGTCGTCTGTGTATTTTTATTTCTTTTGAAATACCTGAGGTTAAAGAACTGAAATTTGAGTGACTTCATGATGTCATACAGTACTTAGGATGCAGCATAGCTCATAAAAGAGTGCTGCCTTTCATTGGCAAGGA